GTTTTATACTTACATGTAAACTTCCTGGCCCTGTGGACATTTAAACCCGAGATCTTCATATTGGATTTTCAAAGTGGGGAAACTATGAAGTTTCCCCAAATTTATTTATAAAGTTCATAAGAAGCAAATTTAATTATAGTTATCTAGGCTTCATGCCTTTAAAAGGAATAATGTTCAGGAGAGTATCCTAGTTTATAAAATTTTGGTGCATCACTGTAATCATAGAATGTAAATTATTTAGTTATTTAGTTTACATGCAGGCCTTGTGTTTATTTAACTTCAAGTATATTATAGAAAACATGACGGTTAGTAATGAAAATCTGAGCTGAAGCAGGTGGATTCACAGGAAAAGGACAAGAGTGGAGCCGATCAAAACCTCCTGAGAAACAGGGAGATGCATTCGGATTTTCTTCCTCCCGAGCTAATGGAGCTGATTTGAAAGGCAGTGATTGCCTTGTTGAGTCGACACTTCTATGAGTCACACTAACCTTCCTCTGGTGGGCAATTTCAGTCTCACTCTTATGGCCCCCGAGGAGCTGCCTGGGCGCACACTGGAGGATTTCCTGGCCAGAGTTCACCTACAGTGTAATTTAAGTAAAAGCCCTGATTGCGTTCTGTGCTGCTGAGTTAAATGATAGGAAAACCTGATATGTGTGGAAGGGCAGAGGCAAGTGTGTGTGTTCCTCCCCGATTCAGTAAAAACTAGCACAAGAAATGCATTAACTGAGGCTAATTCTAAACATTGAACAGCTATTTTTAGGAAGTTGGAAACAAGGGCATGGAGAATATAGACAATATCACTATACTGATTTATTAGTTTATGGATTACATCCAATTGCTTCAGAACCATGCCTAAATATACAAATGTATATGCAGCTGTCAGATTGTTCATTTGAATATAACAAACAGTTAAATATCAGCCATGTTAAAACCTGTTGTATCTATGTTGCTAAATGCCCTACTTTGAATTTCTCAGTGGGTCTGTTAATTTTCCTGTGAGATGATTTTAGATATATCCAAAAGGATTTTCTGAATGATTAGGGCACTTTTAGGAATTTATCCTATTAGCAATCTACCTTCTGGTAATATACACTTTACCCTAAAACCATCTCATTTTGTTGAATCCTGACACTATCCAATGAATCGTGAGCAAAGGAGCTAGTGTTAAGATAAATTCTGTTGTTTCCAAATTTATAATAGATTCTGGGTGCTTTGCCGTCTTAGCCTCTGCCTCCTGTCTTTAGGTTATTGGCTCATCAGGCCAGGATATACCAATAGAAAGGGAGAATCATTTTAATATTTAATAGTAGATTCTTATTGAATTTGTAGGCTGATTTATGTTATAGCAAGTAATTGGCAAATTAGTCATAAACTATAAATAATAAATTACAAATTGTAAGCATTATTATTGCTTCACTGTCTCAATAGTCTCGAGAACACAGTGATTTGATCCTGAGTGTCATTCTTAGTTTGAAACAAGGGTATACGCGAGTGACGGAACGCTCACCCCTCCCTGGGTGGCGTAGTTAGCCTTATCTGGCTCTATTTTTTCCCCCACGTCACTTATAATCACCTAATAAACTATAAAATATACACACACTTGTTTGTGTTCGTTCTGCTCACAGAATGCAAGCTCTGTGAGGGGAGGGATTTTTGAGTGTTCTGTCTTACTAATACTTACACATAATAAGCACTCAATAAATATTGGTTGAGTGATTGAACAGACATGAAATAACAAATCAGCATAAAGTGGCATGTATAACAACTTAATAATAATTTGAGCCAAAACATTAGTCAAAGTTGGTTCTAGGACTGGTGAGAAAGTGTGGATTCCATTACCTACCTTACTGTAACTTTAGGAGGCTGACAAGATTTGAGAATCATCCACAAACAAAGCATCTTCTGATGTCTTTATGCCTTGGTGTCTTTTCTCCGTTGCCCATGCTTCTCTTCCCATTAAAAATTCCTTTCCTGGGGTGGACCTGGTGGCATAGTGGTTAAATCTGGCATGCTCCACTTTTGCGGCCCAGATTCATGGGTTCAGATCCTGGGTGCGGACATACACCATTCATCAAGCCATGTTGTGTCAGCATCCCACATACGAAATGAAGGAAGTTTGGCACAAATATTAGCTCAGGGCTAATCTTCCTCAGGCACACACACAAAAAAAGAGGAAGATTGGCAACAGATATTACCTCAGAGCGAATCTTCCTCACCAAAAAAAAATTCCTTTCCCCTGTATTTTTGATTTGGCTTATTCCTAATCACATTTCAAAACTTACTTCAGGTAGCAATTTCTCCAGGAAGTCTCCTTTGAAGTCTCCAATATGAGCCAGATGCTCTTGCTATGGGCTCACAGAACTCCATCCTTTACCACAGTATTAAATCACGCCAGACTGTAAATGTTTAACTTCCTTGTTCTCTCAGCACTCTATGCTCTGAAAGCAGGGGCCACAGTATTTTCTTTGTTTGTTTTTAAAATCCAGACATAGTGTTTGCTTCCTAAAAAGCACTCAGTTAAAAAGCAAAAGGAAAGGGGTCTTGAAGGAATATAGAGAGAGGATGGGGAATAGAAAGGAAGAGAAAAATAAAGGGTGATAAAAAGATGATAACTCGTTCATTTTAATCAAGAAAGAACATCTAGACAATAAAAAATTGGGGTATTACAATAGGTTTCCAAGAAGTGTTTACTTATTGAATGAATTCGGACGATGCTATGAGTACCTCTGTGTGCCAGGCATGATTCTGGGCACTGAGGGGGCTGCAGCAGACAAAGGGAGAAGGTCACTGCCTTCATGGGGCTTATTTTAGTGGAGGAGACAGACAGTAAGTGTCTTATATTATATATATAAAGCAATACATAATATAATATAAAATAGAATATAAAACACACATACATTGCAAAAACATATAACATACAAATATATAACATAATATACTATTATAGAATATAAAATAATATAGAATTTGGGGATGTTTAAAAGGAATTAGTGGATTGCCTCTTCATTCAAGATCCCTCGTAATTCTTGTGAAATTCTATTTACCATATCCCAGAATGCGAAGTATAAAATAAATCACTCCAGGAGTGGCATTTATAACTTACATGTGTGCCCCAATCCATACTGAATGTGGAAGGAACAATTTGCATAGATTTTGAAACCACACGCAGACCTAAAGGGGCCCATCTCGCTGTTGTGTGCAGAAGCATCAAGCCCCGAGGGGAGTCTTAGTGGACTGAAGACTCCAGGGTGCAGGCTTCCTTCTTGCACAGCTGGGCAAGACCCTGATTTCTCAACCGACAACAGGAATGAGAATGGTAAACCAAATAAACTTCTGCAAACTTTAGTTAAAAATGACTTAAATTTGTTTTACTCTCCAACATTTTGATGAACTTGGTATTACTTACCAATAGGTCATTTCCGTAGACAAAAGATTTGACTTTTGTATTGAATTGGGGGAGTTCCCAGGATCTGGGTACCAAGAGTTGACTTACGCTACCGTAGTAATATAATTAGGAGTACACTACCGTTTTTGCTTTAATATAGCTGAATTATTTTGCCAGCATATGGAATAATGTACTTAGAATATCACAGTGCTTTGTGGTAGAGGGGGAAAAAAAAACAATTACGGTGAATGAGGTAGAATGGCTGTGTTATTGCAGTACATAAGACTTTGATTACATACTGCCAAGATTCATACCAGCCTAGTAGTTGTTGACAGATAAAGTAACAAAAATGAAACTCATTTATTTTTTCTTTATTGAGACCTCAAGGAAAAGCAGATTTTCAGTTCTTGTACTTACTACATTGATAGAACAGAGACTGACAGCAAAAATGTGCCAGTCCAGAAATATAAATTAAACCTAGGTTCCTATCAAAATTCCATTTAGCCTTCGAGAAGGAGCTGCTGTTTGGATTATTTTTGATCCTAAAACTAATATACCATGGAGTACCACAGAATACCTGGTGTATATTAACCCTTTCCTGTAAGCACTACTTTCAGAATTATTGTTGTCTTCACTCCGAAGTCTTTATTTGTGTTTTACAGTGTTTGAGGCGACTTGAATTTATCATCAGAGTAGATTACGTTTTACTGAATGCAAATTATTAGCAATAGACATATACATTTCAGTCTGCAGGAAATATGAAACTAGATTTGGAAAATTGATAACAGACCCTTTTCTCTATTATAAAGTCATATTTGATGCTACAGTTGGTTATTGAGATAAGGACAAAAATAAGTGGGAAATATCAAGTGAGGATTTTTGGTTTGTGTTGAGTTTTTTGATGTGTATTGAATAAAATTCCTGGCTGAATCATTTGTACCTTCTCTTCATGTTACTTGAGTTGACATAACAAAGAAGACCTGTAAACAGACACCTCTTACTTTCCTCCCTCACTCCCTTCCTTCCTTTCTTTTTCTTTCTCTCTCTGTTTCCTTCCTTCTTTTCTCCCTCTCTCCCCACTCCCCTCCTTTCTTTCTTTCTCTTTTCTCTCTCTTCTCTCTCTCTCTCTTTCTTTTTATTCAACTATCAACATGGGAATTTTGCTACAGTTTTTCATAATTAAGATACAACTAAGTTAACTACAGAATTCTGGACACAATAACATGATATAGGTAGTGAATGATATACAAGTGGGTAAATAGAGCCATCAGTGAACTCTAAACACCATTAGACTACAACAATGTCCATCTCTCAACTAGATCCTAAAAATAATTTTCCTTAAGTTTTTTATTATTATTTTAATGTCTACATTTGATAATTTTCTCATTAATTTTTTAGCAACAGAAAGATAGCATGAACTTGTTTCTTGAATTACCTTTTCTGACCTTTTGAAAGATGGTAATTACTAAAAAGGGAGGCTTGGAAGACTTGTAAAAAAATTAAGCTTATAAAGTAGCTAAAGTGGTCCTTCTGTGCTGGTGTCGATTTCAAAATTAACATTTTGGTTCATGTGCTTCTAATAATCACTGACCCTTACTTCATGTACTTTCCACAGGAAATGAATACAGCAGAAATTACTTTGACCCACTGATGGATGAGGAAATAAACCCAAGGCAGTGTGGGATGGAGGTCAGCAGAGAGGGTGAGCTAGAATTAAGTATGTAATTTTTGTGTCAGAATATTCTTTTCCATTCATGAAAATGAGGTGACAAAGATCACACATGCAGTTCCATTTAGATTTTGCAGCTTACAATTTAAATGGTAAGTTTTAACCACTAACAACATGATGGGCAGCGAAGGTAATTTTTCATCAAGGACAGCAAGCTGGTCAGAGAGAAGAAGCAGGAGTTTGCTCTCATTGATGCTGCTGTAAGCTGTCTGGCGCTCTTATAAGACTGATGTTATGCTTATGAGAAGCATCATGGCTTTACAAATGCCATCTCTGCTCTTGGAGTTTAAAAAGAGCATTCTTCAATAAAATTCCTCCAGCACACGAGATTTCCATACATAGTAACTATTGAATTCCTTTCATCGAAGATGGAATCACCACCTGAGTTTTGAATAACAAAGGTGCAGTGATATGATGATTTCCTCTTCTGTAATCTTGTGTTTAGCTGTATTTGTAAAATAACAAATCAAAATTGCTCCTTATGTGCACTGTACTATGCATAGTCGATAGCTCACCAAGCCCTCTAGGGTTTACAAAGGTTACTGATGAGATGAAGATAGTGACAAGCGTTACTTAGAGTCATTTGCAATCCAGACCATATTCCACTGTTGGGCACCAGTCATTGAATCTGCACTTTGTAAGGAAACACTGGAGTAAATCCTCACAAATAAAAGGGCTCAAGCACAGTGCAAAGATCATTTTAAAAGACAGTTTTGAATAAACTAAATCTACTTTTAAATGATGCAGAATCCATGGATATCATCAAAAGACATATGTGCAAAATAAGGCAAGAACTTACTCTCAGAACGAGTTTTTACCAGTAGCTCAAAATGAGGGCAAATTGGAAACTGGAAAACCTTAGTCTTTTATTTTCATAATACACTTGAGGGATAAGAGAGAATCGCAGTGCATTCTGGAGACGAGTAGCCATAGAATTAGCATTTGAGGTCTGTTTTAATTTCTTGAAGATCACAATATATAGCTATATTTGGTGGAATATTTGTAATGTAAGGACTAAAGGTTACTTACTAAGATATGTTGAATGAATGATGAATGGCTCTAACCATGGACAGGTACGTTTCATAAGACAAAATATTGTTGGTCACCCTTCCTTTGTCAGCAGTTATTGCCCAACTCCTTTGGGTGAACGTGGGGTTCCACGTTTTAGAGCAGACACTTCTCTTTACATCTGCCCACAATTCAGTTTTAAGTCTGCAATTAATGATGTCTTCCTTTTTCTTTTGGCTAAATGGTTACCCTGTTTAAGGGAACAGACAGTGCTAATGAGCACGAGATATCCTTTTGCACCCTCTACGGCACAGGGCTGAAGACCATGCAGTGCTGTGGGACGGGTCCTGAGGAGGCCCAGCCTGAGCAGAGTGCAATGCACAGCCCTTACCTGCCAGCCACCAAAACACATGAGCCAATTCCTTAAAATAAATCTCTCTCTTTCTCTTTCTGTGTGTGTGTGTGTGCATGCACACATTGTATATGTATTATATAATATGTAGAGAGAGAAAAAGAGAGATCCTATTGGTTCTGTTTCTTTGGAAAACACTGATTCATCCATAAGCTAATATTACCCATACCAAATCATATACAAAAGTATAAAATAATAAAATGTGCATCTACTACATAGAAGCACTCAGATCCATATCCATATTAAGTAAAAAGTATTTACCAGAAATCAATGATAAAGCAATTGTCCATTATTTTTAAAATCTATGCTATATAAAAATTAACATAACATTATCTTTTCAGGATTTAGTGTAAAAAATAAAATGGTGGTTGTGGTGGGTTATTTACACTGATAGAGTCATAAATTCTATTAAACATTGCAACTCATCTAACCTACGCTATTTTCCTTTATACCTTGACTTCCAGGAAGCACAAAATAAGAGTGCTTAATTATAGTTAAAACATTGTCCTCCGTTTTTTGTATTTTTACTGCTTCCTTTTGTAGGTATTCTCAAATCTTCCCTTTCTTCTTTATGTGAACTTTGCTCTGACCATATTCATCTATATTTCTATTATAAGCTGCCTCAAACTATTTTGGTAAGGCAGGCTGGTTGGCTGGAGATCCAGGTAAGAGTTGATGTGAAATTCAGGTAAATATTAATATTGCAGTCTTGAGATTGAATTAAGCAGGGCAGCACACTAGAAATGGAGGTATAATTATGTCACAATGTTGAGGAGACTCACTTCTTTGGGAAACCTCAGTCTTTTTTAAGGCCATCAACTGATTGAATGAGGCCCACCCACATTATGAAGAGTAATCTACTTCACTCAAAGTGTATTGATTTACGTGTTAGTCACATAAAAAAAATACCTCCACAGCAATATCTAGGCTGACGTTTGACCAATCACCTGGACACCACAGCCTAGCCAGGTTGACACATAAAATTAACCATCACGTGTTGCGTTTAATAATAACTAATCAATTCATAATAATACCTTATAGGGTGGTGAGGGCCTCTTGATTTGACATACTAAATGTGTTCTCTCTGATCACCAAACCTTAACTCTGCTGCTCTTTCTCTTATCACCCTGTTGTTTTTTCCTTTGGCGTGCATCTTAGTTGTTAGTTACATGTTTATTGCTATACTTATTTCTTTAGCAACTTTCTTTCCTCTAGACCTTAAATGTCCTTAGAATCAGGCATAGTGCTTGGCTTATATATGATGCTTAATATTTATTTGCTGACGTGAAAATCACAAGATATATGAAATCTCATTTTCCGTTCCCTCTCAGGATCTCTGCTAACCCTACTCAGTCCCAAGTGAACATGAGCTCCTGCCTGGAATTGCTGAGCTGCTTTTGTCCACATCCCTCCTGCTCCCCTTTGATCCATTCTCAAGACAGCATCTTGCCACTCCCTTATTAAAGCCCTCTCATTGTGGTCTATTGCATTGAGGGTGAAGACCAGTATACTGTCCGTCCACGTGTCAGATCCCCTCCACTTTCTCTCCATGCTCTCGCCACACTGGACTACTTTTTGGTCCTCATTTGCTTGGAGCTCCTTCTGGACGCTGAACCCTCTCAGGTGCTAGGACAGCTTCTTTCCCCTTCTCATGTGGTCAATATCCTCTCTTCTCAAAGATTCAGCATAAATGTCAATTCTCAACTCACTTGACTAAGCTAGGTGATGTTTCCCTTTATGCCGCCTTTAGCAAACTCATCACAATGGTCAGAAAACTGTTTCTTAGTGCAGTTATCTGTGAAATGTCTTTTTCCCCTATTAGATCATCTCCAGAACAGAAGAGGCCAGAGATTTTGTTTACCTTGTTCACTGATCACTTCTTAGAGTCTAGCACAGCAGTGGGCATAGAGCAGGAACTGACTAGAGAAATATGTGTTGAGTTAATGTATAAATGAATTATTTAAAGTGCTAAGCATAGTATCCAACACATGGCATGCCTTCTGTGAACACTGGTTGTTATTACTTCCTGAGTGCTCAAGGGGTGTCTTGAGTTGGATACAGTAACTCTGACCAACCAACACAAAACCCTCCAAAGGAGCCATTGTGATTCCCATTTTGAAGATGAAGAAATAAGCACAGACAGATTTAGTATTTTCCCCAAGACCACAGAGCAAGCATAAAGTGGAATTCAGCCTCGTGTCTGTGGCGCCATCTGTTCTCTTTCCCCTCAGGAGTTGAATTTGCCCTGTCAGCTCTCTCCCCTCTTCCCTTTGAGGAAAACATCTGAAGGGAGAGGAACCGGGTTAATCCAAATTGTTGAATTTGAGTTTGAAGGGGACATTCTCTTGCCTTCTGTTTCTGTGTTATGTCACTTGTTTGACCCTCCAGGGTCCTAATGGGGCATCATTGAAGGAGGCTGCTCACCAGATCGGCCTCCCCAAGGAACCAGAACCTCAACAGCCGTAGTCTGTTAGGTTTCTCTAGTTCAGCTTCCTCTCATACAATGCCTCAAAAGCTGTCTATAACTCATTACTTAATAATGAACCAAAAGTGCTCGTTTAAAATGACAGAACTTGAACTATTGAAAAATTACCCACTTCGTTCAGTTACTAAGTAGTTAACAACAAACAAACAAAGGAGGTTGGCTACGCTTTGCTGAGTGCCTACTATGTGCCAGGCATGAAGCTTGGTGCTGTACGCGTGTTGTTTTGTTAATCCTCACAACTATCCCATTTTGGGGGCAAGAAGATTAAAGCTCAGTGATTCTAAGAAGCTGCCCAAGGATTACAGGGCTAATAAGTGGCACAGCTGGGATTTCGATGCAGGTTTGGCTGATACCAGACCTGCGCCATGGTGCCTCTCTCCTAAAGATGGTGTCTCTATTAATTTCATTTACCTCTTGTCTGTCTGTTTTGACACTCTAAATGTATGTTCATTTATTCTTGTCTGTCACCCTCATTGGGCCATCAGGATTATGAAGTCCTTATATTGGGGCTTTTATTACATCTGCAGAGAATTACCCATCTATGCATCTGCTATTGCTCGATGTTAATTTCCAAATAAGATTCTTTCATGAGCCATATATCAGCTTTGTAAGTTTTGTAGCTGTTCCCACTAGGAGTTATAAAGATTCAGGCAATGCTGGAACAGAAGTACGTGCTTCCCTACTGCACAGTCTGCAAAATGTCTTCCAGGAATTGCCCCTCTCCTTTTTTCCCAAATGTTGGGGTGGTAGGAGGTCTGTGCTGGCTCTTGGCAGGAAAAGAACATTTGCATGTCAACTGACACTTGAAAAAGTCATCTGTGGGGTTCAAGGAGCAGAAGCTACTAACTTCAAAGACTTTTTTATGTTTCACTTTCAAACATTCCTTCTGGCTCCAGTAACCGAGGCTTTCCTGTTTAGTCATTCCAAGTCCATGAATATAGGCCACGTTGGATTTTTTCCAATGCTGATGCTCAAAAGATCTCAGGTATGGACAGAAAGGGAAGACCTAGAATTTTTAGGATCTTCTAACTTGGTGAATGAGGATTCCGGAAGGCTCTTCTGGAACACTTGCTCGTGGAGTTTCAGATGTGAGTCGCAGAATTACCCACCATCTTTGCAGTTGACTCACCCATGGAGTGCGCAGTGCTAAGTAATAGGAGTACATGGGCCATATTAAAACCGCCACAGTAAGAATACAGCCAGTTTAGCTAGTTCACTTGCCATCTGTGTGGAGGGGAACATGCTTGATGTATGTATGCGTTTTCTAATTCTAAGACTGGGCAGGTCATCCAACTCGGCATCATTTATGTTTGGTTCCCTCCAGTGGCAGGAGATCCACCTAGATGACCTTTTAAACCCTCTTGCAGAACTAGGTTTTTATGATTATGATTTTTTTCTTTTGTAATGACGTGACCTTGTTACTTTAAATTCACAAAAGAACTAAGTAGCCCTTGTATTTGCTATTATATTGCAATAGCATATATAAAAGAATCTAAGACCACCTAAAATCACCCAGGTTTGTTGTTTCTTATGTAAAGTAGTAAAAAATATGATATATAGAGAGTAGCTAATGTAAAACATTCATTTTGATCAAATGCTTATATATTCTATTATATGATTTGACAAACCATAACGGCTTGTTCTGAAATGATTCTTGTGTAATAGATGTCATAAGCCATTGAATATGAGATCCTTTTTATTGGAGAAGTATCCAACTAGGAATACCCTGCAATATACATTTAAAAATCATTGTTCCAATTATCATTGATTTACAAAAGTTTTTTTTTTTTTTCGGAGCAAGACAGCATATTGAATAGAATTTGTGTCTATGACCTATAAGATAACTAAATAGCCGTGATGATTAATAATGTCTTTTTGTAATTATATTTGCATATCTATGAATTAATTGTTGAGAAAGTTATCATAAATATGTTCTTTTAGCACCCTTACAAGTTGATAATAGAATTCTCTATGATCGATTAATGAAGCTGTTTGATGAGAATGCACAAAGAGAACCCCCAGGTAAGAGGCCAATTATTTTCAATCTTTTATATTAACCTTAGTTATAAATCCATTGAGATGGTTTCTTGCAAATGCTAATTTTTTTAAAATATAGCCATTCATTGATGACCTAGGTGTGTTTTTGATCATTGAAAATATTTAAATATAGCTAAAGTTGGGGGGAAAAGTAATTATAGCCCAATTTATTATAACTGCATAAAATTTACAACACTAATTAGCAAAAATGATTTAACAGACTAACTATTGTAGGATGCTACAATATCATAGGACATATTTGGATTCACTAATTTATAAGGCAAATGCCACTCTTTTTAAAGAGAATGTCTTAGCTTTTAAGCAAATGCTTTGGGGTGATAGAAGACAAGTAGTATATTGTTTTCAATCTTAGTGTGGAAATTAATACTTGTGAATATTAGGCTCTTTAAGTAAGAAATTCTTGTATGCATTAATCTAGGAATTTAAAGATAATTCTTTAAAATTAAATTCTTAGTTTAACACATATAAATTTATGCCAGAACCACACTGGAGTTTTTACCAAAACATCAAGTATAAGTTGCTGTGTACACATGTATTCAAATTCATGGGGAATAATTCTATTAAGTTTTTTTTCAGTGTGTTTAGTTCTTCTCAATCATTTTATCTACCTTATTAAGATAATTTCTTAAAGTACTTATAAGTGAAGGGGCTTATTATGGTTGTCTTTTAATAATTAGAGTTGTTATTTCTATTGAATTTATGCTTAGGCTTCACTATTTACTAGCTGTACAACTTTGGGCCAGATTTTTAACCGTTCTTTGCCATTTCTGCCAAATGGATATATTATACCTCTACATGGATTAATTATGGGGATAAGCACATACCTAGAATAATAAAAATGATGATGATAATGATGGTGATGCTGCTGCTGCTGCTGCTGAAAATATTAATAGTAGCTAAACATTCATTGAGTGCTTACTAGGCATGGTTCTAAGCACTGTTCTAAATAAGGTAAATACTAACTTATTTAAACTTTGTAACAGGCTTGAAGGTTAGGCCCCATTTTTGATCCCGTTTTACAGAATAGCATCCACTAAAAATTTTATTCCTGCCTAGATACACCTCCCTTTACTTTTTTGCTATCAGTTTGTGTAGCCAAAGTTTTGTTTCTTTTTGTCTTTATAAACAAAGCAAACCTATTTTTCATGCCAGTTTGATCCCTCTTTTTGAAGGATCCTGAATTCAAAGGATGTGTTGGTCGAGATTCTCTAGAGAAGCAGAATCCAACAGAACCAACAGAGAGGCAGATTTATTTTAAGAAATTGGCTCATGCAATTGTGGGGGCTGGCAAGTCTGAAAGCCTTAGGGCAGACTGGCAGTAGAATCAGGTAAGAGTTGATGTGAAATTCAGGCAGGAGTTGATGTTGCAGTCTTGAGTCAGAATTCTGTAGGACAGCAGGCTGGAAACTCGGGTGAGAGTTGATGTTGTGGTCTTGAGACCGAAATCCACAGGGCAGGTCAGCAGGCTGAGAACTCAGGCTGGATTTCATGTGTTGCAATCTCGAGACTGAATTCTTCTTTTCCAGTAACCTCCGTCTTTCCTCTTAAGGCCTTCAATTGATTGGAAGAGGCCCACTCATATTATGAAGGGTAACCTGTTTTACTCTAAGTCTACGGATTTAAATTTTAGTCATCTAAAACTTGCCTTCATGGCAACATGTAGACTGATGTTTGAACAAAAACTCGGCGCCATAGTGTAGCCAAGCTGACACATAAAATTAAGCGTCACAAATAGCTATATTTAAATCATCAGGCCTCTATATTTTTAGTCTAATGTCTGAGTCAGCAAATATATATTGAATACCTTTTTTTGTGCTAGACATTGAGTAACGCACTTTTAGACGTATTGTGTCCTTTCCATTGTGACAAGTCTTTGCAGCTCGGATCCCTTGAAAACAGTAAATTACACATTTACAGGTGGCACCTAATCAGTCTTCTAAACTCACTTATGGGCTTACAAACGTCTTATGGAATTTACAGGATAGTCAGGGACTTCACCAGCTATTTTATACACGAGGATTTAACTGAGACCTACAACGTTTAAGGACTTACACAAGGCAATACTGGGTACCAGTGAACAAGGAAGGCCAGCAGGCCTCTGGATGCTGCATCCCAGTACTCTCTTCACCTCATTTCCCTCCTGAAAAAGAAGATTTCATCCATTGGTTAAAAGTTTCTAGGTTCTTGTTAAAATTCTAACATCGGAAGGAGGGGAAATTCCATATTTTACCTTCTAGCATTTTTTTCAAGACTAGAAGAGAGGGGATTACTTTATATGTATAGCATACAGCTAGCTAGATGAATAGATACAATTTGTAGATGATACGGTTTTCAGATGATAGAGACAGAAGTACAGATACCATTTATATAAATGCTGGCATTTCTATGCAAATAAACAAGGCAGCCTAAATAAAGTCCTTCTGTGTGTGCAAAGCTCGGGAACTGTTCTCAGGGATCCCAACTTGGAAAACGAACCCAGAGCTCTGGCTTCTCATAAACCTATTCATCTCCCAAACTGGTTTCAGTGAATGGCAAGTATGTGGTAATATGTTGAAATAACAATGTGTAACATTAACGCACAGAGCAGCACAGTATCTTCAGGATATATTTGGTAAGTGGGAAAAGGCCTTTATGCACCCTACACTTTGCTCACTTTCTAAACATGACAGGACGAACAAGGGTTGTGGGTGTTGTGGTTGGTTTTTTATCTTAACACTTGTTTGGGGCTTTAGTGATTTCCCAGCACATTAGACAGAAAATGATTTGCTAAATTGTAGATTATGACAACTTTATCCAATAGAAGAAAAGTGTGGTTAGATGACTGTGTGTCTAGCCAACATTAAAGTGACAAAGAGCAGATGGAATTCCATGTGATCTTCTTGGGGTCAATAGATGACAGCGTGGAGCAGGAGACCTTGGGTTCTGAAGAGCCGATGAGGTCCAGTAAGAGTCCAGAACTCCACAAAGAGGATGGTGAAGCCGCCTCTGCTTCCAGCGAGGACTTTGAAAGACATGCTCAGAAAGACGTAATTCTGCCTGGAAGTTCTTCATCAGAACAGGTCAGCAGTAAAATATTTTTCAAGAAGTGTAAGATAATCTTTCTTTTTAAAATGACAAGTTGAAATGTCAGTCCTACACATTGTCTACTGACTTTACTGATCAACATACCTCCTGCTAGAACACGGTTCTTGACTTCCCTGAGTCTTTTCCCTTATTTTTCACATACGTTTTACCATGCAGAACTTATGCTATCTATCAACATCAATCCTGGCCCTTCCACAGTTTAGTTTCATTTCATCTGGTTTTAATTTATGTTAGAGTGCTAATCTCTAGCATATTATAAAGTATCTGTAATAAAAACTGAAACCAGCAGAAACTTACTTGGCTAAAATTAAGAAACTACGTGGACCTGTTTACACAAGCACTGTATAAATATGTGAATAATCTAATATATGTGAAGTCACCATTTAAGGAACTTAACGTGCAAATTTTAACTGTTGTGACCCACACCACACAGGTGCGTCGCTAGCCCCTGGATTGTGTTGACTTCAGAAACACCTTTTCTGTTTTCTGCATCTGTAGTTTCCGTTTATCTGCAATGTAGCATTATGTGCTCAGATCCACCAAGAAGAGGAATAGTATTTCTTCTATGTAGTCACTTTATCGAAAATAAAAATACAACAATCCCACGTGTCTAGGTCCAGGCGTGTGTATGTATGTGTTGTTTTGTGTGAAAGGTAAGCTGATTCAGGCTAAAGAAGAAAAAAATATCACCAAGTGAAAAAGATTGTTCTCAATGATTTCTTTTATTAAATCACAAGTGGAAATATTATTTCCTGCTTCAGAAGTGAGAGGAATAGCTTAGTTTGGGGTGGGGGGTATTCTCTAATTTGGAGTGTAGAAATTCCGTAACAGGGTTTATTTTCTTCATTTGGGCCACTTAGATCTGAATATCCTGGGCACATTAAGGTTACATCTATTTTGAGCTTTCTCAAGTAAATGACCCTAATTAGCAAGTACAGTCTTTCCTAACAGACACCTGGATGGAGCCTGTAGCAGGTTGAATTGTGTCCTCCAAAAAGATACAGCTGAGTCCTCACCCCTGGTAACTGTGAGTGTGACCTTATTAGGAAACAGTCTTTGCAGGCATAAGTAAGCTAAGGATCTCCAATGAAATCATCCTGAATTGGGTGTGAACTCTAAATCCGATGACTCGTGTCGTCACAAGAGAGCTCTGAGACACAGACACCCAGAGTGGGGAAGACCAAGTGAAGACAGAGACTGGAGTGACACCTCCACAAGCAAAGGAACACCAAGCATTGCCGCAGGCCCCAGAAGCTAGAGGAAGGCACGGGGTGGATTCTCCGCTGGGACCTCATGAAGGAATCAGCCCTGACAACACCCACATCAGACCTCTGGCCACCAGAACTGTGAGACAGTAGCTTTCTGTTGTTTTAGCTACTACGTTTGTGGTAATTTGTTATTAATAGCAACCATAGACAACTAATACAGCTCCAAGGGTGGGGGATCCCATGAGCTGGGTTATGCCTCTTCATTGATATTTTGTTTATTTTGCTTTTTAATTTTCAGTTATTTTACTGAGGTCATAATGGTTTATGCCATTGTGTGATTTCAGGTGTACATTATTATTTGGCAGTTTCTGTATAAACTGCATCGTGCTTACCACCAATAGTCTAATTTTTATCCATGGCCATGCATATGTGCCCCTTTACCTCTTCTGCCCACCCCTCAACCCCCTTTCCCTCTAGTAATCACTAATCTGTTCTCTTTGTCCATGTATTTATTTATCTTCCACATACGAGGGAAATCACTCAGTATTTGTCTTTCCCCATCTGGCTTATTTCACTTAACATCATACTGTCAAGGTCCATCCATACTGTTGCTAATGGGATGATTTCATCATTTTTTATGGCTATTATTCCATTGTGTATATATATATATATATATATATATATATATATATATATACACCACATCATTTTCTTAAATTGTGGCAACATTGGTTTATATCATCATATAAATTTCAAATGTACATCATTGTATCTCAATTTCTGTGTAGATTATATCACGCAATCCATCACCACACACAGTGCCTAATCACCCCTTTTGCCCTCCTCCCTCCCCCCTTCTCCTCTGGTAACCACCAATCCAATCTCTGTCTCTATGTGTTTGTTTGCTGTTGTTTTTATATTCTATTTATGAGTGAGATCATATTGTATTTGACTCTCCTTCTGACTTATTTCACTTAGCATAATACCTTCAAGGTCTATCCATGTTGTCACAAGTGGCAAGATTTCATCCTGTTTTATGGCTGAGTAGTATTCCGTCATGTATATATATATCACATCTTCTTTATCCATTCGTCCCTTGATGGGCACCTAGGTTGCTTCCAAGTCTTGGCTATTGTAAATAATGCTGCAGTGAACATAGGTGTGAATATATCTTTACACATTCATGTTTTCATGTTCTTTGGATAAATACCCAGTAGTAGAATATCTGGATCATATGGTAGTGCTATTCTTAATTTTTTGAGGGATCTCCATACTGTTTTCCACAGTGGCTGCACCAGTTTGCACTCCCACCAGCAGTATGTGAGGGTTCTCTTTTCTCCACATCCTCTCCCACAATTGTTATTGCTTGTCTTGTTAATGATAGCCATTCTGATGAGAGTGAGTTGATACCTCATTGTAGTTTTGATTTGCGTTTCCCTAATAAGTAGTGATGTTAAACATCTTTTCATGTGCCTGTTGGCCATCTGTTTTTCTTCTTTGGAGAAATATCTGTTCAGATCTTTTGCCCATTTTTTAATTGGGTTGTTAGTTTTTTTGTTGTTGAGATGTATGAGTTCTTTATACATTTTGAATATTAACCCCTTCTCAGACAGACAGTTTGGAAACATCTTCTCCCAATTTTCAGGTTGTCTTTTCATTTTGTTGATGGTTTCCTTTGCAGAAGCTTTTCAGTTTGATGTAGTCCCATTTGTTTGTTTTTTCTTTTGTTTCTCTTGCCCTGTCAGACATGGGACTTGAAAATATGCTGCTAAGACTGATGTCAAAGAGCAGACTGCCTATGTTTTCTTCTAGAAGTTTTATGGTTCCTGGTCTTACATTCAAGTCTTTAATCCATTTTGAGTTAATTCTTGTGTATGGTGTAAGATAATGGTCTACTTTCATTCTTTTCCATGTGGCTGTCCAATTTTCCCAACACTATTTATTGAAAAGATTTTCCTTTCTCCATTGTATGTTCTTGGTACCCTGGCAGAAATTAGCTTTCCTTAGATGTGTGGGTTTATTTCTGGGCTCTTGATTCTCTCCCATTAATCTCTGTGTGTGTTTTTCTTTCAGCACTATGCTGTTTTGATTACCCTAGCTTTGCAGTATATTTTGAAATCAGGGAGTGTGATATCTCCAGCTTTGTTCTTTTTTCTCATGATTCCTTTGGCCATTTGGGGTATTTTGTTGTTCCATACAAATTTTAGGATTCTTTGTTCTATTTCTGTGAAAAATATCACTGGGGCTTTGATAGGGATTGCATTGAGTCTTTAGATTGCTTTAGGAAGTATGGACATTTTAACTATGTTAATTCTCCCAATCCAAGAGCATGGAATATCTTTCCATTTCTTTTTGTCTTCTTCAATTTCTTTCAACAATGTTTTATAGTTTCCAGTGTACAGGTATTTAATCCCCTTTAAATTTATTCCTAGGTATTTTATTCTTTTTGCTGCAATTATAAATGGGATTGTATTCTTAATTTCTCTTTCCACCACTTCATTGTTAGTGTATAGAAACACTACTGATTTTTGTATGTTGATTTTATATCCTGCAACTTTACTGTATTTATTTATTATTTCTAACAGTTTTTTTGGTGGATTCTTTAGGGTTTTATATATATAAAATCATGTCATTTGCAAATAGTGACAGTTTCACTTCTTCTTTTCCAATTTGGAGCCCTTTTATTTCTTTTTCTTGCCTAATTGCTCTGGCTAGCACTTCCAATACTATGTTAAATAAGAATGGTGAAAGTGGCCATTCTTGTCTAGTTCCTGTTCTTAGAGGATTTTTCTCCATTGAGAATGATATTAGCTGTGGGTTTGTCATATATGGCCTTTATGGTGTTGAGGTACTTTCCTTCTATACCCATTTTATTCACAGTTTTTATTATAAATGGATGATGTATCTTGTCAAATGCTTTCTCTGTATCTATTAAGATGATCATGTGATTTTTATTCTTCATTTTATTAATGTAGTGTATCAAGTTGATTGATTTGCAGATGGTAAACCATCCCTGCATCCCTGGAATAAATCCCACTTGATCATGGTGTATGATCTTTTAATGTATTGTTGTATTCGATTTGCTAGTAATTTTTTGAGGATTTTTGCATTGATGTTCATCAGCAATGTTGGCTAATTTTCTTTTTTCATGTTGTCCTTGTCTGGTTTTGGTATCAGGATAGTGTCGGCATAACAGAATGAGTAGGAAATCTTCCTCTCATATTCAATATTTTGGAAGAGTTTGAGAAGGATAGGTATTAAGTCTTCTTTGAATGTTTGGTAGAATTCACCAGGGAAGCCATCTGGTCATGGACTTTTATTTTTTGGGAGGTTTTTGATTACTGTTTTGATCTCCTTACTGGTGATTGTTCTATTCAAATTCCCTATTTCTTCTTGATTCAGTTTTGGAAGATTGTATGATTCTAAGAATTTATCCATTTCTTTTAGATTATCCAGTTTCGTGGCGTATAGCTTTTTGTGATATTCTCTTATAATCTTTTGTATTTCTGAGGCATTGATTGTAATTTCTCCTCTTTCATTTCTGATTTTAGTTGAGCTTTCTCTCTTTTTTCTCGGTGAGTCTAGCTAAAGGTTTATCAATTTCGTTCATCTTTTCAAAGAACTAGCTCTTTGTTTCATTGACTTTTTCTACTTTTTTTAGTCTCTATTCCCTTTATTTCTGCTCCCCTATTTTTACCATTTCCTTCCTTCTACTGATTTTGAGCTTTGTTTGTTCTTCTTTTTCCAGTTCCTTTAGGTGCACTGTT